ACAAGCTGAAGGTGAAGGTGAGCGGCAGTGATGTGAAGAACGCCGACCTTCACCTCAATGTTCTCTCCAGTCCGGCGGTCTCCCCGGCGGAGCTCTATGTAAGTGCTTTTTTATTGGGTAGCATTACTTTCACTTTTTAGCAGGAGAAATGCTAATGAGAAACTTTTCTACTCTCTTTTTACAGGCGCCCATCAGCCTGACCAACGAGAAGACCGTCGGCCTCATTGGCGGCAAGCGGGTGGTGCTGCGCTGTGAGGTGCCCCACACTGGCTTCACCCTGGGCATGCCCATTCCCATCACCTGTCACATATCGAACCTCTCGAAGAAGCACATGATCCTGAAGGGTAGGGAATAGAGTATTCTTTGGGTAACCCCTAAAAATCTAACCAATTTTTCCATTTTCTCCAGCCTCCCTCAAGCAGGAGATGACCTTCAAGGGCGACGTGCAGCACACCCGAACGGTGACGAACAAGCTGACCGAGGCTACCGGACCGCAGATTGGCCCGAAAGGCGACTGCTCGCACAGCATCACCCTCCAGGTGCCGATCAACCTGCCCATCGTCCACAACACCTGCCCCATCATCACCATCAAGTACATTGCCTCCGTCAAGCTGGACATTCCCGGGTCGTTTGACCTCGCCTGCAAGATGCCCGTCCTCCTCACCAATCTGCCGCTGAATTTTGGACAACCGCAGCAGATGCCTCCACAGATGCCTCCACAGCAAATGCCAATGCATCCGCAGCAGCCGCCCTACGCCCCCTCGGCTGCTCCAATGCCGTCAATGTGATTTGTGGAATACTTTTTTTTCGAATTTTCTCCTTTTGTTTCCTTTTCTATCTGTCTGTTATCTATGAACGTTTCCGGGTCCAAATCCAAAGCCAACCTACGCCAACCTCTATCTACACCAATACCTCCTTCTCCTCCTCTCCTGTTTAGCTTTTGGGCTTTTTGTACAATTGATAAGTTGTTGTTTCTTTCCTAGCTGAAAACTGATAACTGAAAATAATAAATAATAAAAAAAGTACACCTTCTTATAAAATGGCTGTATTTGAACGGACAAGTAGGTGGCGTTTTAATAATAAATAGCAGGGTATAGCAGTAATTACAAACTAGAGAAGAGAGGAGAGTAGAAGAATAGATAGAGAGAGAGAGAGCTCTGTAAAGTGAATTCTAATGTGTGCAATGTCTGTGTTGTGTGGGCGGGTGTGTAAAGTTACAGTTTAGTGCACAGGTGTGTGTGTGTGTGTGTGTCTTACAAAGAGTAAACAAAGCAAGTTGACCACAGAAACTGCTGACAAGCAGAGAAAGTCCAATCCCTTCCTCTCTGATCTGTTTCCGAATACCCGGTCAAAATTACGATCCCAGTCAGAAAGCACAGGCAAAACACTTCGAGTTTCTTCCTTCAGCAGCAGCAGCATTACGCCTTCTTGATGAAGTGACTGAGAAAATCAATGGGCAGCGGAAAGATGATGGTGGAGTTCTTCTCCGCGCTGATGGTGTTCAGCGTCTGCAGGTAGCGGAGCTGCAGGGCGGCAGGACTCTGCGCAATCACCTCGGCCGCCTCCTTCAGGGCGCGGGCCGACTTTTGCTCGCCCTCGGCGGCGATCACCTGATGAAAACATAAAATTTTTTTCATTATAGCTTTGATAGCTAAAAAACCCCCCAAAAAATGACTTTACCTTAGCACGAGCCTCTCGGGCGGCCTCCGCCTCGGCGGCCATCGCTCGCTGCAGCTGCACGGGCAGTCGGACGTCCTTGCTGTGAGAGTTTATGGAAAATTCATAAAAACCGCTTTTAAAACCTCCCCCAAAACACACTCACATCTCCACTCGCTCCACCTTGATGCCCCAGGCGCCGGTGCACTCGTCGAGAACGGTCTAGAAAGAAGGAACATGGATGAGGAAAAGAAGAAAGGAGGGTGATTAAGATTAACAGCAGGGAGGGGCAGTGGTCGAACAACCTGCATCGAGTTGGAGATGGACTCTCGGTCGGAGAGTATCTCGTGGAGGTTATGCGTGCCGAGCATGTTCCGCAGCGTCGTCTGCGCCAGCAGGCGCGTGCTGTGGTGAGCATTCTCCACGTTGGCCACCGAGACGGTGGCGTTGTGGACGCGGTAGTAGACCACGGCGTCCACCGAAACGGTCACCGAGTCCTAGTGGAGGAAGGTATTTATTAGTTAGTTGAGGATAACCCCTTATGACCACCTTTCAAGAGCTTACCTTGGTGAGCACCTCCTGCGGAGGGACGTCAAAGGTCAGCGTTCGCAGGTCCACCTTGGTGTAGTGCTCAATGCAGGGGAGGATGAAGAAGATGCCCGGGCCCTTGGCGCCGCCGTGCAGAAGGCGACCCTATTGAAAAGATGGGTTTTGTTTATTAAAAAGTTTATTCTTTCTTCCTCTACTTGGAAGCTCACCAGTCGGAAGATGACCGCCCGTTCGTACTCCTGCACCACCTTGATGCAGAAGAAGAGCGATATGGGAAAGGTGCAGGCGGCGATGCCGATGGAGAGCAGCGTGAGGATGGCGCCGCAGACGCCCTGCTGACTCTCATTCTGCTCGCCGGCTATTGTGAGGAGAAGAAAAATGGGAAAAAGATGACTGTTAGTCAACGGACAATAAAGAAGGAGAGAATTTCGGGTGCACTCAAACTCAACTCCTAAGACAAAGACGTCATGGCGGAAAAAGAAGAAGTGTCACCTTCAGCAAACTTTCTCACATT